CAGGCTGGTCTCAAACTCCTGACCTCAGGTGATCCACCCATCTGGGACTCCCAGAATATTGGGATTACAGGTGCGAGCCACCATGCCCGGTCCCCAGTATTGTATTTTATAGCTATTTCCCTCCCCCCAGGATCCAGTCCAGGTCATACAGGGCATTTAATTGTCATATCTCTTTAGTCTCTCCCAGTCTCCTCAACCCTTTCCTTGTCTTTCTTGTCTTTAATATTTAAATAGCATAGGCCAATAACTTTTATAGAATGTCTTTCAGTTTGAGTTTGTCTAATCTTTCCTTGTGAGTAGATTCAGCATTTTTGGCAGGAATACCACAGAATGATGTGCTCTTTTTAGGGCATAATACCAGAAAGTACACGAGATCACTTTATACCAATATTAGTGGTTTCAGTTTTTCATCACTTGGTTAAGGTGATGTCCACTAGGTTTCTCCACTTTAGAGTTACTATTTCTTGGATTTCTTTTGTTGCTTGCTGATGTAAAGGCAGTCACTGATTAATTAGGACTTAGATGTATTTTATGTTCTTTGTACAGCTCGAGATGCTGCTGTGCAGAAGATTGAGACTATTATCAAGGAACAGTTTGCTCTTGAAATGAAGAATAAGGAACATGAAATTGAAGTCATTGACCAGGTATAATGATGATAAATTGAAAAAAAACACCAAAGCTATTTTGAAAAAAATTTTTACATGATTGAAAAATAATCTGTTGAGATGGAGTCATAGTTTGCTTTATCCTCTTTGCTTTTTTTAAATAGCTTTCTTGTTTTGGGGAGAGAAAAATGCTATTTTTTAAATAATGCAATTGCAGAAAGGATTGAAAAAATATTACCTGGAATTCCATTCAAAAAGATAATCTTCTGATAGCACAGCAGGGTGACTACAGTCAACAATAACTTATTGTACATTTAAAAATAATTAAAAGAGTAAAATTGGATTGTTTGTAACACAAAGGATAAATGCTTGAGGTAATGAGTATCCCATTTACCTTGATGTGATTATTTATCATATGCCTCTATCAAAATATCTCACATATCCCATAAACATGTACACTGTGTCCCCACAACAATTAAAAATAAAGTTTTTGAAAAAAAGATAATCCCTCTTTGCTCTTGTGCTCACGTCTTTGTGGATTTTTTTCAGTGAATATACACATATGAATGTACATATTCATTGCAACACTTGTCTTTCTTTTAAATCTTTGTGAATCTGATGGATGGAAAAGGTCACTTTTATTTGTTTTTCTTTTGATTGTTAGAGAAGTTGAGAAGTTGAGCTTTTTTCTTCAGTCATTCACATTTCTTATTTTGTGAATTGTTTGTACATCTCTTTTGTAATTGCCATTTTTTAAAGTAATGAGTTAACATTTGTTTTTAGCGACTGATCGAAGCAAGAAGGATGATGGATAAACTGCGTGCCTGCATTGTAGCAAACTACTATGCTTCTGCAGGTCTTCTAAAAGTTTCTGAGGTAAGCATTCCTCTTTCTAGCCACTCATATTTGTTGTCTGAGGGGAAGTTATGTCGATATGGAATCCCTTGCATCTGAAACATTTCTTTTTGTTTGTTTTTTGTTTTTTCTTTTTTGAGATGAGTCTTGCTCTGTCACCCCGGCTGGAGTGCAGTGGTGTGATTTTGGCTCACTGCAACCTCTGCCTCCTGGGTTCAGGCAATTCTCCTGCCTCAGCCTCCCGAGTAGCTGGGATTACAGGTGTGTGCTACCATGCCTAGCTCATTTTTGTATTTTTAGTAGAGATGAGGTTTCGCCATATTGACCAGGCTATTTTTGAACTCCTGACCTCAGGTGATCCACCCACCTCAGCCTCCCAGAGTGCTAGGATTACAAGCATGAACCACCGTGCCTGACCTGAAACATTTGTTACATTGACCTTCAGAATCCAAGAAGCCTAGCCTACTTCCTGGGAATATACATAGACTATACATAGACTTACCAATCATTGTGTTCAGCCGTAGTCCTTCGTCATGACTTTCCACATTGTCAATAATCCTAAGTAATATTTTTTCCATTTTTTTTTTATTTGTTTGTTTTTTTGAGACGGAGTTTCGTTCTTGTTGCCCAGGCTAGAGTGCAATGGCGTGAT